CCTGAAAACTTTATAAAAACTGAACTCAGAACCTATTATGACCTTATGTCTATATATATTGTATAATAAAAAATCTCTATATATCTTAAAACTAGACCCTAATCCTAAATAAAATATATAGGGTGTTATATAACATGGGTGTTATGATCAGCGCCTCTAAAAACCTCACAAAAACTAAACTTGGGACCTATTATGACCTTATGTCTATATATATTGTATAATAAAAAATTTCTATATATCTTAAAATCGGACCCTAACCCTAAATAAAACATATAGATGTTATATAATATAGGTGTTATGAATATAATATTTTGAATAATAAATATATTTGTCAATCAAATATAAATTGTTATAATTTTGTTTATGTAATTGATAATCTATAAAAAATTTTGTTGTTTTTATTTGTTTACTTTGTATTTTCTCTTTTTTTTCATGTCTGTTTTTTTCGAAAGTTAGTATTTTTTTCTCTGTTTTTTTTATTTTTTATTTTTTATAATTAAAAAAATCTACGATAGTCTGAAACACACCAACTCCAAACACTTAACAAAAAATATTTTTTTTCTCTATTAGTAACTATTTTTTGTTACCTGGTTAGTAATATTATTTTAACATTTTTTTCTTTTTTTTGGCTGGTTCTCTTGGTGTTTCAGACTATGAGAATATTTTTTATTTATTTTGTTTTTTTTTTAAAACAAAATACTAATTTTTTTCTTTTTTAATATATTTAGAACATGTCGATATTAAGATTAAATAATAATTTTTAACAAAAAATTTATTTTTTTTTGTTTTTTTTGTTTTTTGTAAAAATTTTTGTTTTTTTGTTAAAAAAAGTTAGTATTTTGTTTTTTTATTTTTTTATAATAACTAAATGATTAGTATATTAGTTAAAGAGTAAGAACTTGGTGTTTTCTCATTTAGATAACTGGGGTCTAATTTATTAAATATACAGATAGTATCTTTGTGAATGACCGGTTCAATACTATTCGCTATAATATGCACGCAATGATTTTTAAATTCTTAACTAATGATAAGGTTTATTTTTTATTATATTTTTTTTGTTTGCAAACAATTTTAATAGCTATTTTTTTTTTACTTTTTTTAGAATAGATTTGGAAAAAAATATCAATACAGTAATCTTTTCACTTCTTGAAATAAAGAAAAAAATAAAAAAAGAGCCGAAAAAACTCCTTGTCATGATTGCAATAAACTAAAAGATAGTTGTAAGAGTGTATTTAAGAAATATAACAAGGGTTTATCTTTTATCAAAAATATAGTAAAACTTCAAAAAGAAGTTGATGAAACAAATAGCGAATATTTTAAATTAAACAAAAAATATATTGCTCTAAAAGAAAAATATAAGCCTTCCGATAATTAATTTTTTTTTTAAAAAAATTTATTTTTTTTTAATTAGTTTTTTTTATATTTTTATATTTTTATTTTTATGAAAATATATTTTTTTTATAAAATATCTTTTTTTTGTTTTTTTTTTATTTTTATTTTTAATAAAATTATATTTTAAAAAAATTTTTTTATATAACAAAGTTAAAAAATAAATTTTGCAATTTAAGTACTAACAAAATACTTTAATAAAATAGTTCTCTTAATTTTATTTTACAATTAATCAACCTTTCTAGAGCCCCATGCTTGGGGGCAACTGCAAAACAAAGTTTTGCAGGATGCGTTGCATAGTCGCCAAGACAACTAAGTGCGCTATCCTCTCAAAACCTTTGACTTGCGATAAATGTAGTAACTGTATTGTGAGATTTCACAAAACACCTCGTGCTTATAAATTTGTAGCTTGTAAACAAGCTACAAATTAAATGCTACTCATTTTTTGTGAAATCTCACAAAAAATTAAAATTAAATAAAATTTTATAATTTAGCTTCAAAAAAATATAAAAAAAATTTATATAAATAAAATTATTTTATTAACTAAAGAATCTTTTAAAAAATAGATGAAAATATTGCTGAACAAGAAACAATAAATGTTTTTTGAAAACAAATTGAAGATTTGATTAAAAAAAATGATGAATTAAATTTAAAAAATGAAGAATTAACTAAAGCTAGAGAACAAATTGAGAATTTAATTCAAGAAAATAATAAATTAAAAACAAAAAATGAAGAATTAACTAAAGCTAGAGAACAAATTGAAAATTTAATTCAAGAAAATAATAAATTAAAAACAAAAAATGAAGAATTAACAGAATCAAATCAAAGATTAGAAAAAATAAATGATACCCAAACTTTATTGTTAAGAGATGCAATTGATAAAACTGAGTTTTACAAAGCTAAAAATTTTTAAAAATTTGATAATTTTATATATAAATATACTTTTGATTTGTTAAATTAGATCTTAGATTTATTGGATTATATTAAATTTGGAGATTACTCTTTAAAAAATATTTTTATTTTTTTAAACTTAAAAGAAAGAATTATTAATAATCATTATATTCAAATTATTTATAAAAAATTTATCCAAGCAATTCTAATTTTTCCTTATTTTTTTATTACAGAATATAGTTTTTGAGTTAAAATTTTTGAACTAGTAATTGTAAATGCTATTATAACATATTTATTTTATATTTAATCTTTTTTGTTTTTAATAGGTTAAATTTAAATACTTTAATAGCAATAATTTTAATTTAATTATTTTTACAATAATAAATTTGTTCTTCATTATTATTAGTAACAATAAATCTAAGCAAAAAAAGATTATACCAAGTGGCTTATTCCGGGATGTGAAGCAGCAATAGAAAAATTTCTAAACTACTGCAACAAAACAAGTATATTGCATCTTATAGCAATTGTTTTAGACCCACGACTTAAATTTTTATACTTTGAAGAACTTGCGTGGTCATCACAAACAATCTCTCAAATTAAAAATATGTATGTATTTTTTATATATAATAATAATAAGAGTATAAGTGGATTTAAAGGGTTAAATAAAAAATTCAAATTTTATTTTAATCTGATTTTATTATAATTCGTAACAATTATTAATACTGTAATATTAAAAATAATTAATTATAACGATCAGGGGAAATGTCCCTTAATTTTTCGTGTAACGTATTTTACTATAAGATCAACACGCACATTTTTACGTTTTTTCTAATAAAATTAAGCACGATGTAATTTTCGCCTCTATGTTAGTTCCATTAAGTGTAACCTAAATGCACCTTTACGTTATAATGTTTATCACTCCCAAAGCTTCTCTTGTTTTAATAAAAAGCCTACCAACCTTAACGAGTCAAAAACCGAAAAAGATCTTCCGTTCAAAGACACTGCGATTCATTCGTTACTATCACTGTTACAGGCGTGGTAAGGCACTTTTAAGATAAAAAAAAAAAGAATTTAAGTGGTTTTAGAGTCTGCTGAGGGTGGCTATTCTATTTCCAATGTTTTATTAGAGTATGATAACAAAAACATAGGCAAGAGCGAAAAGAAAACATTCAAAATCTACTAAAGGTGATAATTTCCGTGGACAATATAATCTTTGATACTTCTATGGTTGTGGTGCGGGCACAGTTACGGGTAAAAAGAAGGTATTCGAGTGGCATATTTAGTTAGGCATGCAGTATAGATTTTATTATTAATGAAAGCAAGGCTCTTAAGTAGTATTTGAAATGTGCAGAAGGTAGTAATTCTGTCAAAAACCTTGATCTTGGGTATTGACAAAACTTTGCCTGATATCTATTTTAATAATATCTTTTATTGGCTATTAATTAAATATCACTAACAGCTACTGTATCAATAGTATAGGGATTCGTATAAGCGAAAACATTAAACTGAAAGATTTATTTGCTCTTGATGAAGCATTGAAGATTTTTGA